TCTATACTTGTTTGTGCGCATCACATAGTAAAACTAGTTTAAATAACCGGAATAAGAACACATAATGTTTATAAAAGTTCATATCATGATTAGTAGAGGCCGATCTTTGATCGGGCGAGCGGGGGTGCTCAATTTATGACCTTCCCCCCTCATACCCATGTTCCCGAGCCGAGGCAACTTTGGTGATGACAGACACGTGGCCTTCGACACGAGTCAAGGTTTCCTAAATTTCCCCAAAATAAAAATTATTTAGGTGGTGACTCTGTATCTGGAAAATCAATCCAATTTTGGCATTATTTGATTTAAAATCGATTTTCCAAAAGGTTTGCCGGATTTGGACTCTTTGGTGTTTATTAGTTTCACGTTGCACTTGTGAGATTAGATTTAGAACCGCGGGAGTCTGAAATGTGAAACCTTTCTTTTCAAACCTTTTCGAAAGGCGGGGTGCAAGAAAAAAGCGAGTCCACAATAATTTGAATAGATAAGGGAAAAAATGAACAGATAGTTAAAAAATTCAACATACAATAAAATTTGAATATATATTTAAACAGATAAGAAAAACAATTGAACATATAATCAAAAAACTCATACAAATAGATATAAATTTGAACATATAGATATAAATCACATAGTCAAAAAATTTGATTAGATAGATATAAATTTGAACAAATAAGAAATAATTTGAACAGATAAATAGATAGTCAAAAACAAAATGTCCTTCAAAACAAATAAAATGATTTTTCATCAAACTATTTTACAAAGAGTGAACCTCTTACTAATAAAAAAATATTTTTTGAACTTAATGCCTTATACCTTTCTTATATTGGATTTTTTAACAATTTTATCAACAACAAAAAAAATGTTATGGTATTAGTGGGTTAGTAAGTTAGTGCTCTATCAGCTTAAACCCTAAATTTCTAACTTTCTCATTCTAAGGAATGTTTTGGAAATTGACTTTTTTTAATGACTTTTTAACCTTTTTAACAAAATTTTTTAACAAAAAGACATAAAAAAATAAAAACAATAGTTAATTTTTTTTTAGTATCTTTTTAACTAAAAATGTGTGTTTCCAAAAATAGGCCTGAGCTAGCTACCCGTCCTAACCACATTGATACATTTATGTATTTCTATTTATAGATATAGATATAGATATAATTTGCTTTCCAATTTCATAGGGTTAATTATTAGATTAAAAAAGCCCTAGTTTATAAGCATGGAAAAGGAAAAAAGTTGCAAAAGCACTATTTTGCTATATATATATACATAAAAAAAAAAAGAAGGAAACAAACAAACAAACAAACAAACAAACAAATGCCATTAAAATGGGAAATTAAGATATTGTTTGGAATGATCTAAATAAGTATACTTTTTAATTGTTTACAAAAAAATATGCAGAAAAGTAGAGAGCTAATGTGACTCAAAAAAAAAAAAAAAGATAAAAAAACATATTACAGTAGGCTATGGCAAACAAACTCTAAATCGATATGTTTTTATATACACGCCAACACTCAATTTGTCAATGAATACTAGACGCCAAAAATTCAAAATTGTGGATGCTAATTTTCAATGTAATGGTTTTATTAAGTTAACCTAATTGTGGTTTAATGGAAAAACTATATGGAAAATATATTAAAAAAGTTGAAGCAAACTATTATACATTTGTCTTGCATTATCGCTCTAAGCCATTCAAACTTAATTTATGGGCCAGTTTGTTTTCAGAGGTAGAATGGAGGAGATTCGTAGTAAAGGGATTGATAGTGAGGGGATTAAGTAAAATTGTGTTTGTTTTGATGATAGTTGTTGGTCACTATAGGAAATGACACTTTTGGCGACTAAAATAGTGGTCCCCAAAAGCCCAATGTTTGGTCGCCGAAACTCATTAGCAAATAATTTTTTTTGTAGCCAAGGTCGTCTCTTATACCCCGTCGGCGATAGTATTGGTGACTAACTTTTTTTTGGTCACCGAAAGTGAATGTTTGACTATTAAACTTTGGTTACTCGGCAAAGGTATCTTTTGGCAACTAAAATATTAGTCGCCGAAAGTTCTCACACAAACTGAATTCAACTATTAGAGACTAAAGTTTTAGTCGCCAATAGAAATTTTGTCGCAAATAATAAACTTTGCTTGGTCGCTACTACTATACTTTGCGCTACTAAACTTTTATTAGTTGGCAAATGAAACATTTTTCCGACTACAAGTATTAGTCGCAGAAAGTGATATTCAGTTATTAGAGACTAACCATTTTGGTCGCCAAAAAGGTGCAAGTTTTCATTTCACTCTTTCGCGACCAAATTGTTTGGTCATTGTTAGTTTTCACGACTAAACATTTTAGTCGCCAAAACGGTGTATCTTTTTCATTTCATTCTTTCACGACCAAATTGTTTGGTCACCAACGGATGCCGTGTTTTCCGTGACCAAAATATTTAGTCGGCAATAGTTTATGTCCTCATTCTAATTTGTTTTGGCTACTAACTGTTTGATCGCCAAAAGCCATTTGTTCATTTTTACTACTAAATATTTAGCCAACAAAACCTTTTCTTGCATTTTTGGCTGCAAATAGTTTTAGTCGCCAAAAAATTTATAATTTTTTTTTGGTTGAAATTTAATTTCTCAACCACCTGTATTTATTCCATTATTAATGCAACCTGTGCCTTGTATATGTAAACAAAATAATCTTCGAATATTGATTATATTAGCAAAGATTCGACAATGTGCACACATTAATTAACTTCCAACCATCCAAAAACATAAAAAGATGACTTTATCTCCCAATTTCAAATTAGACAAATTTAGATTAATTGTGGGTCTAGTATTTTCCAAATTATTATAAAGTAACAATTGTATAATTTTTAAATTGGTATATTGCAGTCAAAGCACAACTACTTGTCTATATACAGGATCATTTACAGTAATCCAATTCAAAGTCTTGGGACAATGAGACTAAGCTCAATTGCAATGACAAAATTGAAAATTACCTGTGCAAAACACACGTTATAAATAACAAGAACCAAAATATTCTAAAATAAAAATGAAAAATAAAACTAAATAGATTATTAGCATAAGCATAAATGAATTTCTTAAATTTAAGAAGCATCAGTGCCATTGATTATGAATTTCTTAACATGCAAGCCAAGCATCATCCACAGCTCCTTTCCAATCGTTTTGTGTTGGAACAATAGCCGAAGTGAATATTATTCCAACACCTTGACCACCCGGCGGGTATCTTAACCATATTTGTTGTAAAACTTACCTTCTTCACCATACCCAACCTCAAATAACATATTGTCAACTGTTTACAGTCACACACAACAAACAAACAAATAAAAATAAAAACAAAACAAAAATTAAAAAAATACATGGAAGGGATAAGATCTCTCATGCCTAAATACCAACATCTCATTTTGTTTATTTATTTATTTTTTGTAATTATTGTGATTCTTTATAATGGGTAAAGCAACTAATGCTTACCTCCTCATCAAAAAAAAAAAAAAAAGATGCTTACCATGTTGGCCAGCCAACGAGTAGAATAAAATTACAATTTTATAGCAAAATGCACCCAAAAGAAAGGCAGTAAAAGCTTGATTAAATAGAAGGTAGCAGAATGTGATGCTTTTTGTATGAACATAGACTAGTAAGAAGTTGGCTTGAAATTCACCCCTTTCCAACCATGTGGAAGACTGAGGCGAGAAGGGAAACGGCAAGAATATTTTAAAATTACCCTTTGTGCTCACACATACTTTCCTCTTTAAGACAAGAAATTTAGGGAGAGTTAAGAACACAAGTTGGCATAACAAATCAGTACAAGGCAAAAACACAAAAAATAAACAACGACCAAGATGTTACCGTTCTTGGCCTAAACAAACAACATGGGAAAATGAGAAATATCCCTCTTCTTTAGCTTCCCTAACTTTATAGAACAAAACACACACAGTAGAGAAGTACAAAACTTCATTTAACATGATAGCTTGTACAATGACTTTGCCCCCATATAGTTCCTCTAACAACCCACACTTTCCAATATAGTCACAAGATTCTAACTTTTTCCTAGGAATGAAGGAAAGAGGACAACAAAAAGCAAGAGCCACATCATGCACAATAGCTTAGACCCAGAATTGAAATAGGACTTGCAACAAGAATTATTACTATAAGTCGCAAACTGCCACTCCAAAAAGTTTATAAATTATATTACATTATCTACAGATGGTGTTAGAAGGAAGTGATAAAAAACACACCATCTACATTTACTCTTTGACACCAATGCAAGCATGTCGCGGACATACAAGCAAATCCACAAATGTGCCACTTCGAGTCCAACAACTAGCATAGATATGCAAGTTAGATGGGGCAACACTCACCTGAAAATTTCAACCTACCTTAACAGTAGTTTGGAGAATAATCACTAGCCTCTATAAAAACATTCACACAGTTTAAATCAATCCCAAACTGAACATAAAAACCCACCATCAAGCATAAGCTTAAGAAAGGAGAAAATTGGGCATTGCTTAGAGAAAGTGAACAACCTACCTCTTTTTCTCCAGTATGAGAACAATCCCGCGAACAAAATATAATTAAATCACTTCGAGCACAATTTTTAGTACATAAATTTGCTCCTTTGAACTTCAGTATGGGCGAGAATGGTTTCCACCGTGATAATTTCTATCTAGACCAGAACCTCCACTGTCTTTGTAATTGTCTCTGCGTCTGTCTCCACCCCCTCCATATCCACCTCTACCTCCGCCCTTGTTATATGAACAATCATTAAAAAGCAAAGTTCTTCTCAGCGATGAAGCTTTTGGATCTCGCGGCGGTGGCGATGGATCTGTGAAGATCAGCAGAGAAGGACGAGGCGGCGACATGAAAAGATTGGCGGTACTCAAATCTATGAAGATCGGCGGCGATGGAAAGTGAAGAGAAGAGGAGAAGAGAGAGAGAGAAAGAGAGAGAGAGAGAGAGAGTGACGGAGGTAGTAGCGGCGGCAGTGGTGGTCGCAGCAGTCACGATGGCGATGGCGGAGGAGGAGGAGGTGCTCCGGTTGCCGACGTACGCAAGGAAGACCGGTGCTGAGAGACGGAGGGGAGAGGAGCAGAGGAGATGGAGAGGGTGAGAGACCCTGAAAATAGGGAAATTATTCAATACTCCCGGAGTACTATGTGGCCATACTCTAAGCCAATCACCAATTACTTAGCCTCATGTTGTTTCCCATCCCTAACATAAATTGTGGGCCCTTATGCCTCTCCACCAATCAAAACCTTGTACAGCACCACGTGTCCATACTTTAGAAGTACTAAATAATCACCCCTGAAAATAAAGAGAGAGAGGCGCTAGTTTGTTTAGGGTTTGTTTTAGAAACAAAAAATATATATATCATTCACACAATTCACAACAATAAATTTTAGTCGCCAGTTAATTTTTTTTAATCCCTTCAAAATTTTAAATACCTACCTCCAAATATTTTAATTTTTTGGCAACTAAAATTTTTTTTAGTCGCTAAAAATAAATTTTTGGCTACTAAACTTTTGGTTGCCAAAGATAAAAAGTAAATTTTTCTTTTTCATTCGGCGACTAAATAATTTTAGTAGCCAAAAGTACCTATACAGTGACTAAAATTATTTTTAGTCGCTGAAAATAAATTTTTGGCTACCAAATTTTTGGTTGCCAAAGATAAAAAGTAAATTATTGTTTTTCATTCGGTGACTAAATAATTTTAATAGCCAAAAGTAACTATACAATGACTAAAATTTTTGGCTACCAAACTTTTGTTTGCCAAAGATTAAAAGTATCTTTTTGGTTTTTCATTCGGCGACTAAATAATTTTAATATCCAAAAGTAACTACACAACGACTAAAAAAAAATTTTGTCGCCAATTGTGGCATATTTAGCGACTAAAATTTTTTTTAGTTGCCAACTGTTGAATTTTCAGTGATTAATTTTTTTTAGTCACTAATAATCACTATACCCAGACTAAAAAAATTTAGTGGCTAAATCTTGTACTTTTGCCGACTAATATAATTTTGGTCACCAATCCCACAACTTTTGGCGACTAAATTTTTTTTATTCGCCAAATTTGGTCTCCAAAAGTGTAATTTCCTATAATGTGTGACTTAAAAAAGTTTTAAAAAAAAAATAAAAAAAAATGTATTACAGTAGGTCATGCCAAATAAACTCTAAATCGATATTTTTGTATTTACACTCCAACACGCAATTTGTTAGTGAATACCAGACACCAAAAATTCAAAATTGTGGATACTAATTTTCAATGTAATGGTTTTAAGTGAACCTAACTGTGGTTTAATGGAAAAACTATATAGACAATATTTAAAAAAGTTGAAGCAAACTATTATAAATTTGTCTCACATTATCGCTCAAAGCCATTCAAACTTAATTTATGGGCCCGTTTATTTTCAGAGGTAGAATAGAAGGGATTCATAGTGAGGGGATTCGTAGTGAAAGAATTAATAGTGAGGGGATTAAATAAAACTGTATTTGTTTTGATGATAGTTGTTGGTGTAGGGATTGTTAAATTATTTTTATATAAAATAAATATAAAATAATAAAAAAACACAAAAACATTAAACATTAATGTTCCAAAAAAAAATGCCCAACATGTAAAAAATAAAAAATAAAAAATACAATAAAATAAATAAAACAAATAAAACTATGATTTTTACTTAACAAAAAATACAAAAAATTAAACATTAATGTTCAAAAAAAATGCCCTACACGCCAACACTCAATTTGTCAATGAATACTAGACGCCAAAAATTCAAAATTGTGGATGCTAATTTTCAATGTAATGGTTTTATTAAGTTAACCTAATTGTGGTTTAATGGAAAAACTATATGGAAAATATATTAAAAAAGTTGAAGCAAACTATTATAAATTTGTCTCACATTATCGCTCTAAGCCATTCAAACTTAATTTATGGGCCCGTTTATTTTCAGAGGTAGAATAGAAGGGATTCATAGTGAGGGGATTTGTAGTGAGAGAATTAATAGTGAGGGGATTGTTAGTGAGGGGATTAAATAAAACTGTATTTGTTTTGATGATAGTTGTTGGTGTAGGGATTGTTAAATTATTTTTATATAAAATAATAAAAAAACACAAAAACATTAAACATTAATGTTCCAAAAAAAAATGCCCAACATGTAAAAAACAAAAAATAAAAAATGCAATAAAATAAATAAAACAAATAAAACTATGATTTTAACAAAAAATACAAAAAATTAAACATTAATGTTCAAAAAAAATGCCCAATATATAAAAATAAATAAATAAATAAAATAGTTTGGTGGACTATTTTCTAATATCATGTCCCAAGCCTCTATCCTAAAACAAATGGGGCCTATATACTCTGAAGGTTCTTTCACCTATTGTCAATGGTGGAGGCAAGATTTTATTTTATTTTATTTTATTTTATTTTATTTTCTATCAGAAAATATATATATAATACACGGATTACATTAATAAGGGTGAAGGCACGACTACATCATATCAATACCCCTCAATGGTTGGCACCGAAAGGCGAGGCCAATCATATGCAAGCACAACACTATGAGTTGGTGAGAAACCAACTAGAGCAAAGATAAACAAGAAGCAATTCAATGTCTTAACAAATAGCCAAAGCAAGCAACGTAACAATTTAGCACATAAGATAAATAGAGTAACTACACATCAGGCCATGAGTGCATCAGTTGAACTTCCACTTAGCAACCTCATCTCTTCTGGATCTTGATTGTCTTTAAACCTTCTAAACTGAATATGAAATCATTTATTGAGACTTCTTTGAGATCTGATGACAATTCACCCATGTAGCTACTTTGATTTTAATGAACTCCACTAACTCAGACCAGATGGGTTCAATGTTGTTAAAGACTTTCCCATTTTTAGCAAGCCAAAGGGTACATAACACTGCAAGTGGCAATGCTTTCTAAATGAGTTTGGCCAAATGTTTGTAATTTTGTCCATACCACCAAGCAAATAAAGTTGAAAATGACTCCGGAGTTATCCAGAAGATACAACCCCACCAATTCACAATTATAACGCATACCCTCCAAGGGAATGAGCAGTACAATAGCAAATGAATAATTGTGAATTTTAGGATGATGTGCCTTTGAAAAGGAAATTGGTGGTGTGGTTTGCTTTTCGTGCTCCTTTCGGATACGACTAGCCCCCATAGTTCGAACTCCTGTGGTTCTGAATCTGATTCTACAAGTGCAATGTGAAATAGATAAACACAAATGAGTCCAAATCTGGCAAATCTTTTGGAAAATCTATTTTGAATAAAAAAAATGCCAAAAATAGATTGCTTTGCCAGATTATAGAGTCCCACCTAAATATTTTTAGAAAATTTAGGAAACCCGAAACTCGTGCCAAAGGCTACTTATCCGTCATCTCCAAGAGTGTCTCGGATCGAGAACTTAGGTACGAGAAGGGAAGGTCATGAATTGAGCACCCCACTCGCCCGATCAAAGATCGGCCTCTACGAATCATGATGTAATTCTTATTTACCTTATATGCTCTTGTTCTGTTTATTAGGCTAACCTTATTATGTGACGCACACAAGTATAGACTAATTTGCAAAAATTGAAACATTTTGATTTCATGTTTGTTTGAAAATTGTTTTGAATATGTGTTACTTAAAAAATTGAACTCATAACTACCTTGATCAAACTATTCTAGTTTAAGCAATTAGCCTTCATCCACAGGCATTCAAACAGTTTATCATTTAAGCAATTAACCTCATGGTATTCATGCTTGACATAGCAACGATCACATGCATATTGTATGGTAAAACAATAAAAGCTTACACCAATTCTTAAGGTGAGCCAAAAAACAAGCTAGTTAGAAAAATGCATGATCCTAACCAATGACAAATGCCTAATGCAACATAGGCAATATGCGATTAGAAGTCTAGCTACTAGCTTGGCATGTGAATCAATGTGATAGCATAAGGTTTTAAACACGTTTTCAAAGAAGTATTTAAACGACAATGCTGGATAAAATGTTGAATCGAACTTCATGCATGCAAGACTAATGGATGCTAAGTATGGGACGTGCTAAAGGAAATGTGATGCTCTAAACTATCCATCATAAGCGGGTAAATAAAAGAGAGAAAGACGTGTGGTTGGAAGACATACATGCATTATTACATATTTTCCCTATCACAGGAGGGTCCAAATAAATGAATTAGTTAAGCTACTTAACTAATTATTACAATGCCAATATAACTAGCCACTTTAACTAATTATCTACAGCACAAATTAACTAGCTACTTTAACTAATTATTACAACTCCGATATAATAATACAAGGACTAGAGAATTAATTAAGCTAAGTAATTAAGTACTCTAACTAATCAGCCCTAAAAAGCAAGGTATGCTCATGTATGAAAGTGGTTTCCACCTGAAAATGCTCCTTTTTTACTGCCAAAAGGGTTCTGTTTTGCAATCATAAAATTGTTCTGTTTTGCCTCAGTCTCTACTCTATTCTACATGAAAAATGGTACTGCCTAGTTGAAAAAGGTGACTGGCCAGCCAGAAGTAGTGGACGGCCGTACAGAAAAAGTTGTTGGCCGACCACTAATTTGTAGTACTGCCTTGCTGCAACAGATAACAAACAAAGCATTTTCAGAGGATGTTTGTCCACCCTACCTCTCCTTATCATCAGACAGATCAAAGGAAAGGTAGGCTTGATTCCCAACCCATCAATCGGCACAAATTCATTGTGTGATGACTTATGAACCAAGGGATACAATCTCAATAAATGGTAAGGAAAGACCAACAAAACATCCTTCCTATTATGGATTTGATCAAGGGAAGTGGTTGACATTGAGCCTTGAACCATTTTCATCACTAATAAGTATGAAATGCGTCAATGGGTTCAATTAACGTCCAATTGAACCCTAAGCTCAATTTTATTATCTTGTTCCATTTTATTCCAATTTTAATACCTCTTTTAATTACCTTTTCATTCCTTAAGCCTTTTAGTCCAATAACGAAGATTAAGTCCACTAATGGAAAAAAGTATCAAACAAAGAGTAGTTTTGGGCATGAGAGAGATGTCATGCCGTTGGTAATGAGTCTCTGAGGAGATTAAACCATTAAGCACAACGACCTCTATCCCAAGCTTAAACAAACAATCGGTTTAAAATGACTCTCAAAGCAAAGAAGAAGCCAAGAAAGGTGGGAGGTTCCAAAGGTGATTAGAGGTGAACACAAGTATGAAAAGCATAAAATAAATGCTATCAACTCAAATAGGTTGGTGGCTAAGGCCTAAACCTACAAACCTATGAGGACCATTACTCTACAAGCATACTATACAAAGCACAAATGAAATGAATGACTTAAATCAGTCCAAAATAACACTGAAATTCATATGGAAAGGCTTGAAAACGTAAGATACAATATTGAGGAAATTAAGCTAGTAAACAAGCACATAGATGGGAGGCTAACCCCTCCATTTTTGGGACTTCAAAACAATGTTTTTAACCTCTGAAAATCTCCGAAATTCAGTGGTAAAAAACTCAAAAAAAAATTGAGAAAGGGATGGAAAACACAAAGGTAAAGGCCTAGGAACCAAGGTTCAAAGAAGGGTGGCTAACCCCTTTATCTTTAATGGCCTTAAACCACAAGCTTCAGCCCATAAAAATAGTTGAAAAGTAGTTCAAAAACAACAAGAAAAGAGAAGGAAGATGTATTGTAAAGATAGTCAAAATTATACTTCTTGAAGCAAGGCAACTCTTTTGTTAACAAACCCACAAGTTCTCACTCTCAAGAGCTGATATTTGAGCTCAAGAACCTCAATAAGGAGAGCTAAATTTTTGGTTTAGAAAGTGTAGAGAGAGAGTGTGTAGGTTGCAAGATAAAGAGAGAGAGAGAGAGAGAGAGAGAGTGCTATGAAAGTCTTGAAGTTTTTGGAATTTTTTCTAACCTTAAAAACATGAGGGAAGGTCAAGTATATGTAGAAACATAAGCCCCTCAGTCGAAAATACCAGTATATAGACAACTGGTGTAGTGTATGCACGTGTGGGAGACAGCTGGCACAAATATCTGCAAAAATATGATTTTTGACACGAGTGGTCAGCAGACCACTAAAAGGGGGCGGCCGCCCACTAATAGTGGCCGGCCAAACAAAAATCTGTTTTCAAGCCCGACTTCAAACGGGCATATCTCCCTCATCCGGATTCAGTTTTAGGTGATTCTTGAGTCTAAATTAAATCCCTAGAAGTCCACTTTCCAATGGTGATAGCCTCACATCTAAATTATAAGTGTGCAAAGAGACATGCCTATTTTTGTGAAGGCTACTCATTTTTATCTTAACGGATTGATGCCCAACCTTTCCCCCCAACTAGTTTTCTTCCCTTCCCTCCTATTTCCTTCAACTCCAAACCTATAACTAAGATGCTTTTAAAGATTTTAAAGAGTTCACCTCCCTTCCATTTATTTCCATTTTGTTCTTACTCGATTTACCGAAAAGTGCAATATTTTGAACGGAATGCGAGCCTCAGAACATCATAGAAGCATTTGGAAAAATATATTGAAAAAGAGGGTTTTAAGGTCTAAAATAGTTTTGGTCTAAATAGGGTGTGAGGTTAGGATTTAGAAGCTCTTCTTGCTGAAGAAATCGAACATTTGTACAGCGTAACTTTCATCATCGAGTGATCAACTTGAGGCACCCAAGTCTTAAGGACGGTCAAAAATGGGGTGTCTACAGGTGGTTATAACACGATTCCACCAAACGAGCCAACCAAAGGCTTTGATCCTTGGAGGTGCAATTGACTTCCATATCTTCATGATAGGAAATAGTGGTAAATGCTGTAGAGGGAGAGAAATTAAGACATTGACTTAGCCCTGGTTTGGCAAACTCTTTTGGCTAAATAATCACAAAAAAATTATTAAAAAAAAAAAGTCAAAAAAGCCAAAAAATCCAACAAAAAGTTTGTCATTCCAAAGCTAAAAAGCTAAAAAAGCCAAAAGCCAACTACAAAAGTCATTGCCAAACAACCCCTTAATCATTGAAGTGGCCTCAGTTAGGCGAATAAGTATCATTAAATGCATATGGGTCAAAACCCAAAAAAAAACGGGTTAACCAGAAGACAGAACCAGATCTGACTTGTTTTTTTGACCAAATTAGCCAAGACCATAAAGTGTCCAAAGGGAACTTGCTGAGGTGCTACTTGCCAAGGTTCAATTATGAAGGCAGACTCTACCTCAGTGCCGCTATTTTACTACGGCACTGCTTTTGCCACTAGCTAAGGGAAGGGGAGCCGTGGCACCTTCGACCTCTACAACTATCTTTCGGGGCAAGGCCCCCCAAGGTAATAACAGTCTTTGAGAGAGGCATTCCCTCTACAAAGAGAGACTAATGCTCGACGCTAATAATAGGCTCCAAAGTATTACTAGCTCGACACTAATAGCATGCCCCAAAACATGTATAGCTTGGCGTTGATAGTAGGCTCCAATGTTTACTAGTTGGAGCTGATAGCAGGCACCAAGGATGCTAGTATACAACGGTGACCCCGTGATGATGGTAGCAGTGTAGTCTGAAAGGAAGGGACTCCCTTTCCATATATCCAGGTCAAGGACCTGCTTTGGTTGTATATGTAGGACCAAGAAAGTCCCCTTGGGCTTGGTACGAGGCACAGACCTTGCTCTAGCCTGCACCTTGGAAAACTGGGGAGTTTGTGGATATGTGGCTAAGAGTGGAGGAGTCAATGAGGTTGAAACTAGTATGGCTGACAGTAGGTCATAAGTCTGGAGAGTACATGTCTTGGGAAACCGAATTGAGAAGGCAAGTGCCACGACAACTAGGACACCTATCGAGGTTCGTACCAAAAAGGTATACGTCGAGACTTGTGCCAAACAGATAGTACAGTGGTACTTATTGAGGTTTTGTGCCAAATAGATGGTACATGTCAAGGGACACATATCTGCCAAGGCTTGGTGGTTTAGGATGGAATATCCTGCGACACATGTCGTTGTACTGTTTGGCTACTTGATATATTCTGGTACCAATGAAAAGCCTATAAATAGGGTCTAATTCCCGAGGTTTAAAAGAAGAATGTTCTAGGGATTAAGGGGATACACTACCCATTTTGTTGCACTGCCATTTTCTTCTTCTGGACCACTTGCTCCACCCTCACTTGGCTACTCACTCTCCACCATTCCCAGATTATTGACCCATTCACATAGTTTTGTCTCACTAAGTGATATTATTATACTATTCATTCTCGACCTCTACAAACGAGAGCGGACGAACATAGGGGCGAGGGGGGGTCACGTGCCCTCCTTGACTTTTCAATTTTTTTGTTGGGTCTTAGCTTACACACAGTCCTACCCCTCATATACACAGCACTCCCAATTTTACCCAAACATACCGACACACGCACCCATGTTTTGTTTGTTTGTTTGTTTGTTTGTTTGTTTTTGTTTTTGTATTTTTTTTTTTTTTTTAATCCCAATCTCAACCAAATACTAACACACAACCTTTTTTTGGGTGAGCGCACACAACTCCAATTACAGCAAGGCTAAAACCCTAAAACCCTAAAAGTGTGTGAAATTCTTTGTTTTTATTTATTTATTCACAGTACTTGTTAAGTGTCTTCGTATATTCTTTGTCTCCCTTTGTTACTTTGCAATTTACCGACTCGTGATTCACCAGATTAGGATCACACAACACAGATTTGGGACCACACTATAACATTGTTATCTTCTCTTTATTGTTTACAGTTAACTTTATTTATTAATTTTTACTTTTAAATAAAAATTATGAGTATCCATTTATAGTTATTTATTATTTTTTGTAATTTTATTTGTTATCATTTATGTTAAAATAAAAATTTTTGATATGTTAAAATTATTAATCTTAATTAGTGGTGATTTATATTAAAATTAGGGATTTTTGTTTGTTGTTGTTTGTGCTAAAATTAGAGATTTGATGTGTGCTAAAATTAAAATTATTAATTTATAGTGATTAATATTTAAATTAGGGAATTGGATTTGTTATAATTAGTGATTAATAGTGATTAATATTTAAATTGGATAGTTATAATTAGTGATTAGTAGTGATTAATATTTATAGTGATTAATATTTAAATCAAAATAAATAAGAAATTTTGATTTGTTGTGATTTGTGCTAAATTTAAAATTTTTTATTTGTATTAAAATTGGAGATTTTGATTTGTAAGGGTTTGTCATTTTGATTTGCATTTTGATTTATTTATTTTTTATTTTTTAAAACAGTCATGGAGAAATATTTCAAAAGAAAATCAAAGTTAGAATCAACTCTTCCTCAAGAAAAAGATGATAATTATTCTTCTGCAAAACAAAGTCGCATAGAAATCAACTTAGCAGACCTACCTGCAGATCCAGGACTACGGCCTCGAATTATGGACTATAATCCTAACGATCAAGACCAAATTCGTAGGGCATATCTACAAGATAGTCCTTGTCGACCTCGTGATCATAATTTTTCACAAAAATCATTTGGACAAAAACTTCGGCGATTTAATCAGGCTTAGTTTAGTGAATTTCATAATTGGTTGGAGTATAGCGTAGCAAAAGATACAACATTTTGTTTATGTTGTTATCTTTTCAAACCCGATATTAGAGATCACGCTGGTGGTGATTCTTTTGTTGGTGAGAGTTTTTCAAATTGGAAGAAAAAATTAAAAAAAATTCAGACTCATGTTAGAGGTCCCAATAGTGCTCATAATCAAGATTCGAGTAAATGTCAAGACTTGTAAAACCAAAAGCAACATATTCAAATAATTTTTTTTCAAACAATTTGATCAAGCTCGAATTGAGTATCGAACCCGTTTGAATGCATCGGTTGATTGTGTCAAATTTCTTCTAAGACAAGGACTTGCGTTTTGTGGGCATGATGAATCTGAAAATTCAAGTAACAAAGGAAATTTTCTTGAACTTCTCAATTTTCTTGCTGATCATAATGATGATGTCAAAGTGGTTGCATTGAGTAATGCTCCACAAAATCTCAAGTTGACATCTTCTGATATTCAAAAAGACATTGTAGATGTGACTGCATTTGAAACTATCAATGTGATTATTAGAGATATTGCTGATGCACTTTTTGCCATTTTGATTAATGAAGCTTGTGACATATCAATCAAGGAGCAAATGGCAGTTGTAATACGATATGTTGACAAAAAAGGCCAAGTGATTGAGCGCTTTTTGGGTATTGAGCATGTTGCTAATACGAATGCTCTCTCACTCAAGCAAGCTATGAAAAATTTATTCTCCAAATTTGGATTGAGTATTTCTAAATTGCGGGGTCAAGGATATGATGGGGCTAGTAATATATAAGGTGAGTTCAATGGTCTTAAAACACTTATACTGCAATAGAATCTTTGTGCATATTATGTTCATTGTTTTGCTCATCAATTGCAATTGGCACTTGTAGCCATGGCAAAGAATCATGATCAAATTTCTTTACTTTGCACTTTGGTTTCCAATGTGGTGAATATTGTTGGAGTATCATGTAAATGCCTAGATATTGTTAGAGACAAGCAAGCTGCAAAAGTTGCTCAAGCACGTAATATTGGAGAGCTATCAAGTAGGCAAGGCTTAAATCAAGAAACTAATCGTAAACGTGCTGGTGATACACGTTGGGGTTCACACTATGGTACTTTAGTCAGCTTGGCTGGAATGTTGTCAACATTGATTGATGTTTTTGAAATGATTTCGGAGGATGGTTCAAATTCAAAACAACGAGCAGAAGCAAATGCATTGTTGGACTTAATTTAATCATTTGAATTTGTATTCATCCTTCATTTGATGAAAACGATATTGGCTATTACAAGTGAGTTAGCGCAAGCACTACAAAGGAAAGATCAAGATATTGTTAATGCTATGAATTTAGTTCAAATTTCTAAAGTACGGCTCCAAAAGATGAGGGAGAGTGGGTGGACATCTTTACTTGATGATATTTTGTCATTTTTTGAAAAGCACGAAATTGATGTTTGTAGCTCGAGGGAGAAAAATATGCAATGCTCAAGAAATTTCAAACTTACATCATTATCGCACTGATTTATTCTACACCATTTTGGATATGCAAATTCAAGAACTAAATGCTCGTTTCACTAAGTCGAACACTAAGTTATTACTTTATGTGGCATGTTTGAATCCATTTAACTCTTTATCTAGTTTCGACAAGAAAAAATTAATTCATCTTATCGAATTTTGTCCTAAAGAATTTTCAACAGTCGAGCTTATGGTACTTAATGATCAAATTGATAGATATATTACCGATATGCTATTTGTAGACACCCCATTTTTGATCGCCTTTAAGACTTGGACGCTTTATTCTAAACACCCGATGATGAAAGTTACACTGTGCAATCTTTTGAATTCTCAGCGAAGAAATTTGGATTCAAGCTCTAATCCCAAACCTTACACCCCATTTTGGCCAAACTTTTTTTAGACCTTAAAACCCTCTTTTTCAAAATATTTTTTCCAAATGTTTCTACGATGTTTCGAGTCTCGTATTTCGTTTAAAATAATGCACTTTTCGGTAAACCGAGTAAAGACAAAGTGGAAATACATGGAAGGAAGGTGAACTCTTTGAAAAATATTTAAAAGCATCTTATTTATAGGTTTGGGGTTGAAGGAAATATGAGGAGATGGAAGAAAACTAGTTTAGGGAAAGGTTGGGCATCAAGCCATTAAGATAGAAATGAGCAACCTTCACTAAATTAGGTATATCTGTTTGAACACTTATAATTTAGATGTAAGGCCGCCACCATTTAAAAGTAGACTTCCAAGACTTCAATTTAGACTTAAGAATCACCTAAAACCGAGTTCGAATAAGGTAGATATGGCCGTTTGAAGTCGGGCCAGAAATGAAAATTTATGGAACCGGCTGGCTTTGATTGAAAAAAAAAGTGAATTTGTGCCTTTTAGAGCCGACCGTGTGTTTCGGGGGCCGGCTGGCTGTTTTGAGGGCCGGTCAGCTCTCAATAGCGCGAAACAGATAGTTGGCAGGATTTGAATAGCTGGCTTTGTTTGAAGATATTTTTGACCAAATTGGCTCAAATTCTATAAATAGACCCCCTGCACTCAGAATTAAAGGTTAGAAGATTTTCCCAAAAGCTCTGAAAAGCTAAAACCATTTTCCTTACTCCTTTTATCTTCAAACCATCTTTAGCTATACATGCACAATACATACACCATTAGATCTTGTTCTTGAAGCTTTTTGTTAAAGTTTCACACCATATGTCATAACCTTGAGGGTGTTGGAATCGAGTTTGTTAACTAAGAGCTTACCTCTCTTTTTCAAAAGGTATAATTTTGCACCTTCTTCTTTAATCTTCTTCTACTCTTTTCCTCTATTTTTCTTGTCTTCATATACTGATTTTCAGAGTTAGAAAGGCTAAAAAATGTGATTTAAAAGTTTCAAAAGTGGAGAGGTTAGCCACCTCTCCTTAGTCTTGCTTACTAGCTTTGTATCTCTTTATTTTTCCCTATCTTTTGTACTCTTTTAACATGATTTTAGCCATTGTTTTTGGGCTACTTTTGGACTGTTTTTGGACTATTTTTAGAAGCTAAAATATGTGATTTGAAGTTGTAAGAAGTGGAGGGGTTAGCCACCATTCCTTAGGTTTGGTTATTAACTTTGTTCTCTTTAATCTTTGCTTACTTTTTCTAGCTTTTCAAACTCGATAATGAAAGTTACACTGTGCAATCTTTTGAATTCTCTGTGACGAAATTTGGATTCAAGCTCTAATCCCAAACCTTACACCCCATTTTGGCCAAACTTTTTTTAGGACCTTAAAACCCTCTTTTTCAAAATATCTTTTCCAAATGTTTCTACGATGTTTCGAGGCTCGCATTTTGTTTAAAATATTGCACTTTTCAGTAAATCAAGTAAGAACAAAGTGGAAATACATGGAAGGGAGGTGAACTCTTTGAAAAATATTTAAAAACATGTTATTTATAGGTTTGGGGTTGAAGGAAATAGGAAGGGAGGGCAGAAAACTAGTTTAGGAAAAGGTTAGGCATTAAACCGTTAAGATAGAAGGCATGTCTCTTTTCACACCTAGAATTTAGATGTGAGGCCACCACCATTAGAAAGTATACTTTCGAGGCTTCAATTTAGACTCAAGAATCATCTAAACCCAGTTTGGATGTGGGAGATATGGTTGTTTGAAGTCAAGCCAGAATTACTGCTTTTTAAGCCGACCAGGCCCATTTAGAGCCAGCCGTGGCTCATTTAGATCCGGCCGACTTTCAATGAAAAAAAGTGAATTTGTTCCTTTTAGAGCCGGCCGTATATTCTGGGGGTCGGCCGGCCCTCAATAGCACCAAATGGACAACTGGCGAGAAATGAACAGCTGGCTTTGTTTGATGATATTTTTGACCAAATTGGCTCAAATTCTATAAATAGACCCCCTGCACTCAGAATTAAGGGTTAGAAGATTTTCCCAAAAGCTTTGTAGAGCTAAAACCATCTTCCTTACTCCTTTAATCTTCAAACCATTTTTAGCTATACATACACCATTAGAGCTTGTTCTTGAAGCTTTTTGTTGAAGTTTCACACCATATGTCATAAACTTGAGGGTGTTGGAATCAAGTTTGTTAACTAAGAGCTTACCTCTTTTTTCAAAAGGTATAATTTTCCATCTTCTTCTTTAATCTTCTTTTATTGTTTTCCTCTATTTTTCTTGTCTTTACATATTGATTTTCAAAGTTAGAAAGGCTGAAAAATGTGATTTAAAAGTTCCAAAAGTGGAGGGGTTAGCCACCTCTCCTTAGTGTTGCTTATTAGCTTTGTATTTCTTTATTTTTCCCTATCTTTTGTGCTCTTTTAACATGATTTTAGCCATTGTTTTTGGGCTTTTTTTAGTCTGTTTTTGGACTATTTTCAGAGGCTAAAATATGTGATTTGAAGTTGTAAGAAGTGGAGGGGTTAGCCACCCTTCCTTAGGCTTGCTTACTAACTTTGTTTTCTTTAATCTTTACTTACTTTTTCTAGATTTTCAAACTATTTTCAGCTTGTTTTGGGGGTATTTTTGTCACTATTTTTTTTTTTGTTTTAGGGGCTGTTTGACTCATTTAATTAGTTTATGCTTTGAATATCATGTTTGTAGTGCAAGCTTGCTTGTCTAGCTTGTCCTCTCCTATTTGTGTTCACTTTCTTCCCATTTTTGAAGTAGTTTAGCCACTATTTTTCACATATTAGAGGCTGTTTAGGGCTGTCCTAATTCATTTACTTAATTATGCTTTGAATACTATACTTGTTGTGTTGTAAGTCCTCATGGCTTCAGTTGTTTAGGCCTTAGACACCGAGTCATTTTAGTTGATGGCCTTTCTTTACGTAGTTTTCATATCAAGAGTCGCATCCTAATAATCAAGTTCGCATGATTATCTCTACACCCTCCCTCCTTTCTTCTTTTATGTTATTCAAGGCATGAGAAAGAGACCTATGCTTAATGGCTTAATCTCTGCGAGAGGTTCATCGTCATGGCGTAGTCTCTCTTTTATGCTATGAATCACTTCTCGTTTGACATTTCTTCTCATTTAGTGGACTTAACCATCACTTTAGGCAAATTGATTAAAGAATGGAAATGACTAATAAAATTGGCTTAAAATCAATGAAGCCGACATAAAGAAAATAAAATATATTGGTTGGATTCAGCCAGACGTTATGCCGAGTCCATTGCTTCAAAGATCGTCGCTTATCAATTCATGATATGTTGATGAGTCTTAAGGCGAGTCTACCTCCCTCTTTGTGCTAAATTCATGATAGGGTGCTAAATTCATGATAGGAGGGTGGAGTGGTATTTTTCATTGTATTTAGTAAATTCTTGTCTAATCGCGTTCGAAATCGTCAAGCCATCGACTTGTGCCTATTGACGGTTTTGGGCTCGAATTCACTCTTCTCATGAGTTCCATGGTAGAGGGGAGCAAAAGGGACAAACAGGGCCCAGACAGGTTCTGTTTGCACTGTCCTCACCTCAGAGTACAAAAACCTTTTTGGCATGAAATTAGGGTACGACCAGCTATGTTTGGATCCGTCCGGATCTTATTTGCGACCAGTGGACCCCTAATGTATGGTAAACAGTAACCTTTTGGCAGAAATAGAGGGCAGTGGCTGAGGGTGAGGCAGAGTAATCTGGGCAAATAGAACAGATTCTGGACACTGTGCATGCAATCATCGTGCCTTATGGTCACTTGGATTGTAATTATCAGTGTTGTATTATTATTATTATTGTTGTTGTTGTTGTTGTTGTTGTTGTTGTTGTTGTTGTTGTTGTGTAAATATTATTGTTACAATTTTATTTTTGTATTATTGTTGTAGTTAGTATTGTTACAATACCCTTGTTGTAATGAAATTAGATAGCTAGTTAATTTAGAATTCATTCGAATATGTAATAAGTAGTTAGTTAAGTGTAATTCATTTATTTGAATTTGTAATTTGGACATTGATTTGGATCCTCTTGCAAGAGAGCAAATATGTAATAATGGTGTATGTCTTCCAACCCCATTTCTTTCTCCCTTTTATTTACCTACTTGTAATGGTAGCGCAGAGCATCATGTTTCCTTAGCATTCTCCATGATTTGCATACACTCGTCTCACATGCATTAGGGTTCGGCTCATCATACTAACCGATGTCAATTTCAAATTCTTTACTTGAATACGTGATTTATCGCATGCGTTGAATTGATTTATATACCATGCTAGTAGCCGAGCTTATTTTATTGCATGATTGTATTGCGTCGCATTATTTAGGAGCATGCATATTTTCTAATTATTTTGCTTTATTTGGCTTGCCTCAAAGTACTAGGTGAGCATTTCTTATTTTAGCATCTTGCATCGTATGTTTGTGTTTCCATATCAAGGTTAATTTGAAAATTAGTCTATACTTGTGTGCACCACATAGTAAGGTTAATTTAATAATCAAAACAAGAGCATATAATGCAAATAAGATTCACATCATGATTAGCAGAGGCCAATCTTTGATCGGGTGCGTGGGATGCTCAATTAATGACCTTCTCCTCTCATATCTACGTTTTCGAGCCGAGACACTGTGGTGATGATGGACTAATGGCCTTTGGCACGAGTCACAAGTTTCCTAAATTTTTTAAAACTATTTTGGTGGCGACTCTGAAATCTGGCAAAGCAGTCCATTTTTTGCACTTGATTCAAACATCGATTTTCCAAAAGATTTGCCAGATTTGGACTCATTTTGTATTTTTTTCTTATTTCACATTACACTTGTGAAATCATATTCAGAATCACGGGAGTCTGAGCTGTAGGGCTAGTCGTATCCGAAAGGAGCACGAAAACTAAGCTACACTATCCAATAGCGAGTTCTCAAGGTTGAATGGAATTGCCAATCTTGCTAAGAAAATGGTGGAGACCGGAAAAGACAAAGGTAGCGTTTGGTAGAGTTTTCTAAATATGATTTGAGAATAGGAGTTGTATTGAGTTTGTGAGTTTTGAAATTATGATTTGAGTGTGAAAATTTTGTTTAGTGAATGAGTTTTGAAAAGAGTTTTGAATTGAGTGGGGAATTTTTAATGTGACATGTGATATTTGATACAAAAACTTACAACTCATAACCAAACACACAACTCAAAATTCTACTAAAGCTCACAAAATTTTTTTAAAAATTCAAAAAATATTTTTTTTGAATATATAAAAATTAACATGCGCCAATTGCAAAAAAATATATATAAAATAAAAAATAAATAAAAATAAAAATTGCACTGGTCCAGTCAACTGACCGGACGACTGGTGGGATGTCCGGTTAGGCCAAATTTCAAAAAAAAAAAAAATTGAAAATTGTGCTTCACATAGAGTTTTCTGCAGAGTTTTCTAAATGTTGTGGAAATATAGTTTGAACATCTTATCCAAACATCATATTAGAATGTGTGGGTAGAATTATAGCTTGGAAATTGTTCCAAACACAGCCAAAGTTTATCCATTAGTGTGTTCTCTTGACTTTAGCATTAATCTTAGGGTAAACTACCAATAGGTCCTAATAGTTGGAGTTAATTCTCATCAAGTCCTATTGAAAATAAGTCTTGGTAAAATTGTCGCTACAAATAATTTTTGTGACAATTTTTTATATATATTGCTAAAAATTGACAATTAGTAACTTTTTTTGTCATGATTTTTATAAATTGTCGCTAAAACTTACAATTAGTAACTTTTTTTATGACAAATTTTTTCCATAGGACCTAGTAAACAATAAATCTACTTATTAAGACCTATACGTAAGTACCCCTTAATCTTACCTGTTGCAACTGCTACTGTTGAGAGGGTATTTTCAGCTATGAATATTGTGAAGAATCAGTTGCGGAACCGAATGGGTGATAAATTGATGAATGATAGCTTGGTTGTCTACGTTGAGAAAGATATTTTTGATGGCATTGATAATGATACTATCATGAAAATATTTCAAAAGATGAAAACTCATCGGGGTCAATTGTAAAAGTTTAAAATTAAATTTTTTTTATAATGAATATTAATTTTTAATGTTTATTATTAACTCAAAAAATTATTATTATAATATTATTAATGATTGGAGAAGAAAAATTTTAACATTATAATTAATAGGTATCTCCCTTATATTAAATTTTTAGATCCGTCACAGCCTACAAATGAAAAGAGTCTCAAAAACTACAATAAAGAGAACTTACAGTGAAGATGCCGGTAGGTTGTGGAGTCCAAATTATTTTATCCTTTGAAATACTTCTGGTGATTGTTGAGTGCTCGAGTCGCATAATCAATATTCCTGGTGCAATTCCTCTTCCCAAGACCACATATTTCTTCTGTAGTCAATGGCCCACACTAGGATGCATAAAATGTTGTATGCTTGAGTCCTTGTTTGTTGCAACTTGCAAGAGAAAAGCGCCTTGGATAAAGTTCTGCTAAGGGAACACTTGAAAGCCAGGCATCCATCCATAATTAACTCTACCTCCATCTTCTGGTTTAAACAGAATTCAGAAAAAGATTGAGAACTTAAAGAGTGTTTGGTTAGTAATATGAATAAAGGGATTAACTATTTCCTTGGATTAGTAATCTACTCATGTGATAGGACTAATAAAGAGTGAGAATGTTGGGATTAAAAATTGAGTGAGGGGATTAGTGAATTTTTAAATAATTTTTAAGTGAAAAATATATTTTTTAGAACAAAAAAATAATTATAATATTAAAAAAAATACCAAAATTAATTTTATATCTATAATATTATTAGTCCGATAGTATACAAACAAATACTCTTTATCTTATATTTCTAACCTATCACCACACTAATAATCTTCTCGCTCAATCTCATCGTACTCTTATTTCTCTTTATCCTATGGAGCTAAACTGACCTCGAATTGTTTCAGTGCAAGGAAGAGATACCATTCCAAACAGCAGATTAAATGGTCTTAAGGCAAGATTTTAGTTTAGATGAGGAGGAGCAATATTAAGCCAAAGCAATTTATCTAAGCTCGGACCAAACCCTTATCTTTAGCTTAAGACCTTTTTAAAAATAAATTTTTTATGTTGCTTTTCGATTGTTAAGTTGGTTTTTGTTGTTTGGACATCTAAACCAAAAAAAAAATATCATCATGATTTAAAATTAAATTACTAACAAAAACTATAGGAAGAATCATGTGATCTGATCTCACAAAATCCTGACAATAAATAGGGTTGAGATTCCCTCAAGTCCAAATATAATTTGAGAAAACTTGAGAGACTAGTGGGGTCACATGAATCCCGTTTCGATTATCCAAATTATTCATGAAAAAAATTAAATCCATTTGATAATTATGTATTCTTTTTTCTTCGCATTTATGTGAAAAAGTTAACACTAATAATTGTTAACACTCTGAACCATAAAAATAGGGTGTTCACATTGTGTATCACGTGTACATTTATATACTAGGCATAGAATACTCCATTAGCGTCTATAAAATCGAATCATGTTCTTCCAATATAGATAAAGTGGAAATTCAAATACCCTTTGTTTTAATTCTTGCACAGTGTACACAAAGATTAGTACAAACCAACTCTATAAATACATATTATGCAGCAAAACACATAAACAAGGCATCAAAAATTATTTTTTTTCTGCACCATAGCCAAAACCACCATGGCCTTAAACAAACTTTTCAATTCAAGCGAGCAACGGTCGATAAGTGAAATCAGTGATAGACAAACCAGCTTCGGTATGGATTCAATTTTTGGCTCAAGCCGTGATAGTGAGAAGCGATGGTGGACACAAGTTAGCAAAATCCTCGAGAAAGATCAGGTTAAGGCTGTTATATATAAATTTTATTACATCACTTATTGTGTTCCAACCATTGTGTTAACTACCCACTTTTTTTTTTTTTTTTTTTTTTTTAATTCGCAAAAGAAAAATTCTACAGCAAGAAAATTAAAGGTACAGGAAGATGACATGCATCGAGAGAGATTCGGAAAGTACAAATTACTCCTACGACTGCTACTCGCATCCATACAACCAACCCTTGGCCTCACGAATTTTTTTTTTTTAAAATAAAAAATAAAAAGTTAAAAAAGACTTAACAAAAAGATAAAAAACATGAATCCCTGCAAAATCAAACCACACGGTTAATTCTGTGGGTTTCACTAATTAAAAACAAAGCTTTATTTCTTCAGGTTTTGTTGCAAATTAAATTTTCAAATGGTTACAAGTTTCATAACAAAATCAATACCGCAAAATTATGATTTGAGATGTGACATGTTCTAATAGATTTTTCATAGATTTAAATTTTTGTTTTGGACAACTTTAGTTCGTGACTTAATTTAAGTCTCTAGTGACCTTGAACACTGGACAAGGGACGATGTGAGCAAATTAAGTTTTATCTTCGAATTATTTGACTCTTTAACACTTCATGAGGGGAGGGAAAATAATTTTAAAACAATGACACTGTGATTCTCAAATTCTCAAAGACTTCTTAACTATCCATTTGTTTCGGTGGAAAATGTTTTCTGTAAAAACAATTTTGGAAAAATTTTCCATAGAAAACTTTTTCCATGTTTGGTTTCTTAAAATTAATGTCCTGATAGTTGCATTAGTGGTGATGGTAGTGGCGGCGGTGGAGTGGAGGTGTTGGGGATGGTGGTGCAATGGTGGTGGTAATAATGAGGTAGAGATGGTAGTGATAATGACTGTGGGGCGGAGAAGGTGGTGGCAACGACAGTAGTGATGGTGGTAGCAGTGGAGGTAATGATCGTGGCGATAGTCTGGTGGCATTGTTTGGTGTCAATTTTCTAAAAATTGAATATTTTATTTTTTGTATTTTTTTATTTTTAGTGACTTTTTTAATTTTTTAAGAAATTTTTTTACTTTTTAGATACGCATAATCTAGAGATACCTAAAAAATAAAATATTTATAAAAAAAAATATTTAAAAAATCAATAAATACATAAGAATACAAAAATATACTAGATTTTTGTAATTTTTTTTTTTGGTATTTTTTGTATTTAAATATTTTTTTTCACAAATATTGTACTTTTTAATTATATTTATATTAAGGGTATCTAAAAATTTACTAAAAGTGGAAAACACGAAAATGACCAAATGGAACGTTGGTAAAAAGAATACAAAAATATACTAAATTTTTGTAATTTTTTTTTTTTGGTATTTTTTGTATTTAAATATTTTTTTTCACAAATATTGTACTTTTTAATTATATTTATATTAAGGGTATCTAAAAAGTTAAAAATTTGTTTAAAATATTAAAAAATTTACTAAAAGTGGAAAACACGAAAATGACCAAATGGAACGTTAGTAAAACTCTACTTGGTTTATATTTTCTATCGATTCTATCATAATATTTGTACTAGTATTGTGTTTATTGTTTTGCTAGACTAACGGTGTCCATCCTGTTTCGATATTTCGTGTGCCTAAAACTCTAAGTGCTTTCAAGCCTGATGCTTACATGCCTCTGCTCATGGGCTTGGGTCCATACCATCGTTTTCGGCCAGAGCTCTATGAGATGGAGAGGTATAAGCTCGTTGCAGCAACTAAGGTTAGAAGTGAACACTTCCCAACCCGAGAATTCCAAGAACTTGTCGATACGTTGAAGGAGAAAGAAGACGAAATCCGATCACATTACCACATGTACTTGGACTATGATGGCAATACACTATTGTGGTTTATGACCATTGATGGTTTGTTCTTGCTCGAGTTTCTTCATACCTGCATCAGCAAAAAAGATAGACTTTCATCATCGTGGTCTAGGAAACCTAACTTGTTCGAGTCTGAAGGAAGTAAATTTGCTGGCCACTCTATTCTCCGCGACGTAGTGATGCTTGAGAATCAAATTCCAATCTTTCTTCTAGGCAATATCTTCGACTTCCTCGATATAGATAAAAATGAGTTGCTTTCTATGGTGACGAGTTTTTGTAGTGAAGTTTCTCCGTTCAAATTGATCAAAAAAGATCTCTCATTATCAGAAGTTTACAAGCATGATCATTTGTTGAAACTTCTGTACAATTGGATTGTGATGAATGTGAAGGTGCCCAAGGAAGCCTGCCCTATTAATATGCCAAGTGAAGCTCCGTACCCGGAGGAGGAAATACTCCCGAAAGTCGATGCAGGTTCGCAAGTTCTTTGCTCGCTTTTGAAGTTGTCATCTAATCTAAATATTCGTTTGGTGGGAAAAATTACGAAACCCATTAACATGATAGTAAATTTGCCTTGGGCAACTGCAAAAAGTCTACCTGAGGTGTCAAGAATGGCAACAAACCTCGACGAAGGCCTTAAATCTGAATGTGATGTTTTGGGAGAGGACATAAAAAATCCCATTGTAGAGGAAATAATGATTCCTTCAGTGTCAGCCCTTTGTAATGCCGGAGTGGAATTTTGTCTCTCCAACGGTGATATTAGCAGCATTAGGTTTGACAAGAAGAAAAAGAAGTTTTACCTCCCTCACCTCAAATTGAATGTCAACTCTGAAGTAATCGTTAGAAACTTGGTTGCATTTGAAGCTTCGATATCAGACTTCCTTGTTCTTGGACGATACACTGAGCTAATGAATGGGATAATCGATACCGCTGAGGACGCAAAATTGCTTAAGAAAAAGGGAATCATCGAATACAGTCTAAAAACTGACGCTGAGGTTGCCCAACTCTTTAATGGGATGACTAGATCTATTCGACCCTCAAAGGTGCCACATATTGATATCACCATTGAAGATGTCAACAAGTACTACTTTGGTACAAGGAAGGTTAAGGTATATATGTGTATGAAGAAGTATGTGTATGGTTCTTGGCAGATTCTTACTCTTATTGCTGCTGTGTTGGTCGTGTTGCTAATGGGTATGCAGTCATTTTGCTCAGTTTATAGTTGCCCACGCTTTTTTAACGTTAGCAATGATCTTGGTAAGTGATGTACTATATCAATAACGAGCAAATCCATGCTCTCTCTCTCTCTCTCTCTCCCTCGTTACTAATATTGTTACCAAATATGTTAGCTTTGATGTGTTTTGCACTTCCGTTTACTTTGCTAGCCTTAGTCATGTAATGTTTCCTTGGTGATCAGTAAAGTTTTTTGCCGATCGTAAAAAGTATGTGTGTAGTCTTGCTGTAATTGTAAATAAATAATGTTGTTTAATTTAATGTGATGAGTGAGTTGTTATTAGTAATGAGAGGATTTTACAATATACACCTTTTATCAGATGTCCTTCTAGTTATGTTATTTTTTTTCTTTTAATTATGATATTATTTTGAGATATTTAATTATACTTTATATAGTGTTTGATTATAATTTTTTTTTAATTATGACTCAAAAGATATAAAATTATCTCATTTTTTTTCTTTATTTATAAACTACAGTCTTTCTTCCCTATACAAATAAATTTTGTGTACACAAATTCTATAACAAATGATGCAAAATTTTGCAGTCATTTCAATTCAAACAAAAATAGGTACCATTTAATATGAAAATTTTTTACTGCCCTGACATTAATTTTGAATTGATTTTATATTTTTTTAAAAAAAATTATAGCCTCATTTGGTTTGTGTTTTAAGATATGTTTTCAAAACTAACTTTTTAGAGAGAGTTTAGAAAATTTGAAATTTTGTTTGGTTCTATATTTTGAAAATAGTTTTAGAATTTGTGTGAGAGAAAAAGTGATTAAAAATGAGAGATAATAAAGAAAAAGTAATTAATTGATATGTAGCAGAAAGAAAAGTGATTCACTGTGTTTGGTTTGAGTTTTCTGGATTAAGTTTTTTGAAAATTGATTTTTTTGGTTTTTGTGTTTTTTTATTTTTAGTGAATATTTTTTAAATTTTAAATATTTTTTTACTTTTTTAGATGCATCTTACTTAGATGTATCTAAAAAGTAAAAAATTTATGAAAAATATTTTAAAAAATTAATAAATACATAAAAATACAAAAAATGTATTGAATTCTTGTATTTTTTTTGTATTTTTGGTATTTAGGGAATTTTTAAAAGATTTTTTTTACAATTTTTTTTTTACTTTTTAGGTGTATTTATGTTAGGTGTGTCTAAAAAGTTAAAAAAAAATTGCTTAAAATATTAAAAGAAAATCAGTAAAAACAAAAAAACACGGAAAATAGGAAAGTAGAATTTTCTGAAAAGTGTTTTGGAAAACTGAAAACCAAGCAAGGTGATTACGATTTTTTTTTGCCTTTCAAAATTATGTTTTCATAGACAAACCAAATATGCCCTATGTGTTTGCAAATTATGTTGTATTGTTATAAGGCACTCAGACAATAAATCCAATTTTAAATTTTTTGTCAAAAGATTCACGCATTAAAATATTATATTCATAAGGATAAGTTTTTACAAAATGACCAAAATACATACTCTTATACATACATGAATATGTTGATATTGACCCATTTCTTCAAACCACACTACAATAAACTCTCTGTTACCCAAAAGACAACCTAAGAAGGTGGTGAATTAGGTTTTTATAATTAAAATTAATAATACCCTAATAAACATTATGACTAGCACAATAGATAAATATAATTAATGAAATAAAAATAATTAAAACAAGTATATTAACAACTATGTCAGTTAATGATTTTAGTACAGTAAAAATGTGAAATATAGCTATGAGAATTTAAAATAAAATAAAGAGATAAGGAAGAGAGAGACAAACAAATTTATAGTGGTTTGATTTCAACTTGGCCTACGTCCACTCCTCAAGCTTCACTTAAGATTTTCCACTATACTCTAGCTTCACAGGGTGCTAGCAACTTTTTCACAGATGGAGCAATCCTCCACAAATTTTACACTGACTTTCTAAGTCAAGAACACTGAGTGTACTACACTCTTACAAGGTTGAAAAGAATGTGTTTTTGCTTTCACAGAAAGCTACAATAATTATCTCTCAAAGATAGATATAAAAATAAAGCTCTGGTTTTTCTGTAAATCTCACACAAAAAAGATGAGTTTAATGTTATAAGGCTCCGTGTATAATTTCTAAGAGATGATGTAAACAAAAATTGAAGAACACTTCTCAGAGACTTTTTCAGAGAATAGATGTGAGTGATTATAGATCAAAGAAAATTTTCTGATTTTTTTTTTAACTTGTTTATATTAGAGGCTTTGATATATATAATAAAAATTATAGCCATTTATAGCCGTTGTATTCATTTGAATTTATAGCCGTTGTAGTCATTTGAATTTATAGCCGTTTATAGCCGTTGTACTCCATCATTACTAATTTGAATATCTTCCACTCCATTATTACAAATTTGAATATCTTCCACTTGAACCTTTTGAACTGCTGCTGTGCTGGGCTATTTGAACCTCTGTTTTTAGGCTGTTTGAACTCCTGATTTAGGGATTATTTAGGGTGTCCTAAATAAGTGCATTTTTTGTCTTTTTAGACTAAAAAATTGAGAAAAAAAATATGGATGTTTTGGTTAACTTTTTGACATTTTATGGAAAAATGTGTATTAAAAATTTGTAAAAATTGGTTTGTAGGGGAAAATTAGGATTGGGAGTTGTGCAGCCGTAATTGTTGACTTTTGGTAAATAGTGTTAACTTTTTGATTTTTTGAGTAACTTTTTGACTTTTTGGCTTTTTTTTATCTTCCCAAACTTGGCCTTCATCAAATATTAAATACATTCTAACAACATTTAGGATAAAGATTTAAGTGAGAAATAATGAGACAAAATAATTTTTGATTTTATTAAAACATAAAATCATCAAAATAAAATTTAATTATATTTTTCTCTTTCAAATAAATCATCAAAATAAATTTTGATTTTATTAAAACATAAAATCATCAAAATAAAATTTGATTATATTTTTCTCTTTCAAATAAATCATCCAAATAAATTAAAGCATAATTAAATAAATCATCAAAATAAATAAGTCTAACACCCTCCATGTCTCTTCCTTCTTCATTACATCCATAGCAAGGAGATCAGGGCTTGGCTCAACGGCAACGGTGATTGTAGGAGCCGGATAGTTGGAATAATCAAAAGTGCACTCTGGAAGGAAAATATTACACGGCTCTAGTCTGCACGATAAAAGTGCCGAATATAATAAATAGGCCGAGTACATACTGAACTGTGGAGCCGGATAAATAGGAGAATAACGAGTGACAAATGGGCCTGGTCACAAAGCCCAGGGAACGAGTATAAATAAAGGAATAACCGATTGAGAAAAGTATGTGAAAACTATTACACTTAGCTTAAAATACAAGTAATCCTGAGAGTAGAGACTGACTTGTCCGTCGGAGTGCTAATTCCGGCACCCCCGACCGAAGTGTTTACTTCTTTTCAGGTGACCAGAAAGAGGATCTCGAACGCTCCTCAGGATCAGAAGAGTATTTCTAAACCACTTCCTCACAATTGGCGCCGTCTGTGGGAATACTCAAGCACATCCATGGCGAGCGTGACGGAAGATCCTCCGACAGTCACTGTCGACCCTATACCTCACGATGAAACCACTCCAACAAACTTACTTGGACCAGAGACTATCGCCGCACAACGTGCCTTGAATTTCGCCTCACCCTCGACTTCGGAGCACAAGACAATGCAGGCGATCATGGAACAGGCAAAGCAAAATGAATAGAGGCTGGAGAACATGATCGCTGAGAACGAACGTCTTCGTGAAGATTTGGCCTTAGAAATGGCGAAGTCCAAACAAGCTACGCGCCTAAATCCGAAACGATCTCCGAAGGCAGGTGGTCGACAACCTCGAGCACGACAAGTCACTGATAACGACTCCAACTCATTATCCCAGAGCCCAGGAAGAAGGGACGACATGAAACCACTAGTTCTTCCAAAGAAAGTCCCCGTACAATGCAGAAGCGAAGAAGGAAAAGTTCGGACGAAGACCAACACGATCCCTTCGTACGACGGATTGCAAAGGCTGCGCTACCAAAGAAATTTAAAGCATCGTCGTTCACCCTGTACGATGGCAAATCAGACCCCACCGATCACATTCGCCACTACAAGCAGGCCATAACATTGCACACAGACGACGAGGCCCTCATGTGCCGAATATTTCCCAGCAGTTTGGGACCATTGGCGGTCCAGTGGTATTATAAACTGAATCCGGCTTCGATCAAAACCTTCCACCAACTACAGAAATCCTTTAGGGCCAGATTCATTACCAACGAAGTCCAGCCAAAGCAAGCCGACTCCCTCTGGGCAATGCAAATCCTGCTAGGAGAAACACTAAGAGCTTATTCGACACAATATTAGGAATGCTTTAACCTTGTCGATGACGCTTGCAACGACTCCATGGCCATTACCGCCTTCAAAATGGGACTACACCGAGATAATGCCCTCTGCAGTTCCTTAACTAGAAGACCCCCTAAAACAGTCTGGGGGTTGATGAAGAAAGTAGAGGAATACTGCAAAGTGAAAGATATCGCCTTGCGGGTTAAAGTCGGACACGTGGCCAACAAAACGGCCCCTCCCGAAATCGCTCAGCCAATAAGTTCTGCACCACTTCAAAGCCCTGAACCACGACAGTGGGCTATACGAGACAAGAGACGGGATTCTCGCCGATCCAGCGATCGATGCCCACACCAAGCCAATGAGCAACTGCAGGTCGATAGCAGGCACACAAAGCGCGCCAACAAGAAATATACGGAGCTGTCAGAGCCAATCAGCTCAATTATGCCAAAGATCCAACATCTTCCATTCTTCAAATGGTCATCCAAGATGGTGGGACCTCCTAACACAAGAAGGCGGGACAGACGTTGGGAATATCACAAAGATCACCGTCATGATACGGACAGCTGCTATGCCTTGAAAGTCCACCTTGAGGAATTGGTCCAAGATGGTCAGCTCCAGCAACACGTCCGGAAAAGCACAATCAAAACTGTCGCCCTTCGGTGGGAGTAACCTCCCATCGGCGTTATACATATGATATACAATCTTCCAACACCACGTACCATACATGCAATCCATTCAGCCCCCAGATGCAACGCGCACAAACGAAACAACCCCACAAAGCGCCGAGCATTATCTTCGACGATTCCGATCTTATCGACATAACAATCCCCCATATTGATCCATTGGTCATTGAACTACACGTGAACCGGTTTACGGTTGAACACGTCCTCGTTGACTAGGGGAGCACTTCGAAGGTCATGTATTACGAGACCTTCATCAAACTCGGCTTCAACGAATCAGACCTGTCTCCGGCTCCTCATCCAT